GGCAACTGAGGTCAGACAGCATATGGTCGGGGTGGGCAGGGGGGATGGCAGAAAGCTGAGGTCAGGACACATTTGGGTCAGATGGCTGTTTTAGGGGACATGACATGAGTTGGGCAGGCGGCTCATACATGAGGCAGCTGAGGTCAGGTAGGGCGCTGTGGGGGCAGCTGAAGCCAGGTAGGGCACCGGGAGGGTGAGGGGCTGGTGCAGGGGGCAGCTGAGGCCTGGCAGGGCACCAGGGGGAAAGAGGCTGGTACAGGGGGGCACTGAAGCCAGGCAGGGCACAGGGAGGGTGAGGAGCTGGTACAGGGGGCACTGAAGCCAGGCAGGGCACTTTGGGGGCAAGTATTTGGTATACAACGCATCTGCAGTCAGGACAGACAGGTGGTAGAAGGGTCACCAAGCTTGTGGGTCAGGACAGGCAGGTGGTTTCAGAGGCCGCTAAAGTCAGACAGGATGTGGTGTGGTGGCTCAGACAAGGCCAGGAAGCATTAGGGCCAGGCAGCTGATGGGGGGCTTCTAGGCTTGGGAGGCAAGAGCAAGCCAGCTCAGCCAGGCCAGAGCCAAGGGAAGCGGCTGATACGACAGGCCGCCAAGGCTAAACCCCAGCCCCTTCCCTCCCTGACTTTCCCCCAGGCTCTCACGCTACTGCTTGGGGCAGCACCGAGGCTTTCCTGGCCTCCCCCGGGCAGGGATTCTCCTCCATCTCCTCCAGCCACGCCTGCCCTCTTGCCGGCTCACCACCAAACTGGCCTCTGTGCACCCTTCTGCTCCTTTTTTCAGGCCCCATGATCCAGTGGACTCTTATCCTTGCTCCTGGAAAGGCGATATCAGTAGGTTCCTCCATGGTTCCAGACCCATCCTCACTCATTAGAATCTAAGTTCTTGAGGCCCTCAGCCCAGCACCTGTCACCCAGTGAGAGCCTAATCACGGCTTTGCATTCGTCAGTCCCAGGAGGCCCCCGCAGGGAAGTTGGGAGCTGAGGCCCAGAGGCCTGGGGGTTAGCGGGCTTGAACGGGAAGCAGTCTGGCCCTCGCGAGAGCTCTCTGGGTGGGGAGTTGGCCTGTGTGGGTATGGGTCCACGTCCCCACAACGTGCTTTGAGGAATCCCAGATGTATAACAAGTATTGGATGAGCTAAGGCCACTGCAGACCCAGCTTAGCTCTCTAGGGAGATAGCTTCCCCTTCTCTCTCCGTCTGGGCCAAGTCTTTCTCCTGTTCTGGTCCTGTTTTACCAGCTGCCTCAGGGACTCCTCTCCCTGGGTGCTCTGTAGGTAATTCGGACTAAATACATACAAAATGGAATTCATTCTATTTCCCCCCAACTCCTCTCTTTTTCAAACCTCAGTCAGCAATCACTAAGCTCTGCCTCTGTCCCAGGCCCTGTGCTAAGTTCTGGGGATACAGAGAAAGGCAAAAACATGGTTCTTGCCCTCGAGGAGTTTATAGTCTAAAGGGAGAGACATGTCTCTCACAACCCAAGTGCACACAAGATCTATACAGCATTTGTTTTTCAGTCATTTTGGACTTTGTGACCCCATTTGGGGTTTCCTTGGCAAGCACACTGGAGTGGTTTGCCATTTCCTTCTCCAGCTCATTTTACAGGTGAGGAAACAGAGGCAAACAGGGTGAAGTGACTTCCCTTGAGTCACCCAGCTAGGAAGTGTCTAAGGCTGAATTTGAACTCGGATCTTCCTGACTCCAGGCCTGGTGCTCTGTGTACTGCGGTGCCCTCTAGGTGCCCCACATACAGTGTAGATTGATGGTCATCTCGGAAGGTTTTCCTGGATAGGAGGGACCAGGAGATTGCAGGATGCCAGGGCAAGTGGATGCAGAGGCAATGCCAGAGCCTTCCTGGCCCGGTGTTCCAGGAATGCCTGGGGGGCCAGTGGAGCTGCTGGGAGGAATCCAGGTGCCCCCAGAAGGGATCTGAGCGCTTCGTCGGAGTTTGAGGAGTCGAGGTTGGTGGGGAGGATGCAGCGCTGCCATGCACGTGCTTCTGGGGCTCAGCCTGCGTCCTGTTGGTCTTGCCCCCACTCCGTCCTCCACATTTGTCCCCTGCTCTTGACACCGCTTTGCGGCCTTCTGGGCTCCCTGCCCCTCCAGTGCATGCTCTGTGAACTACCAAGCTGGCATTCCTAAAGCATGGATCTGACCCTGCCATCCTCCCTCTCACTTCGGCTGAGACCTTACCACCCTCTGCAGCCCCTGGTTCTAGGCTCTTGGGAGGCTGGGGGGGGTGGATCTGGGGCTCAGTCAACAAGCATTGGGGAAGGCCCTGCTGTGCCTCAGGGGCTGGCTTGATGTTGAGGCTACAAATACAGAGAAGCAGCTTCAGTGCTGTGGTGCGGGGGTATTGGGGGGGCCAGGGGCACGGAGGCAAGACGTGTAGAATAATGCGGAATGAATTGAAGGCAGTGTTCGTTACGTGTTCTTGGGGAGAGCAGGAGACAACCCCCGCTCAGAACCAGACAGTCAGACCTGGAGGACCTCAGAGAGCGAGTGGAACCCAGGCCGTTCAGGGGAGGAACTAGGCCTTGCAGCCCACTGGTCTCTGAAGGCCGAAGGCCCAGTCAGGGCTCCTTCCGTAATGTTTGGCAGCCAGATCCACATTCCCCAGGCGAGAAACAGACATTTGCTGGTAGGATGGTTGTGGGTGAGAGCCATCAAGTGCCACATCTCTGAAATGGGGACAGAAATACTTCACAGCTTGTAAGGAAAACCCTCTACAGATAAGGGCTGCCATTAAAGAGGTCTTAACAAGGTTTGTTGAGTCCGAGTGAATCTGGCTAGAAGTGCAGAGTCCCTAACCTTGTCGGTCTCGGAGCCTCCTTGGCTCCTGGGGGCACTGAAGCCCTTCAGCATCGTCCCCTGCTCTTCTTGTGGGCCTGATCCTCTTCTAGATCTCAGCCTGTGTTCTAAATGACCAGTCCTGAAAGTATCAGAGTGGTATAGATTATCTGATTTCCCCAGAGTGGGTCATGATGAATCATGAGGTATAAATTATGTATCTAGTTCAAGCGGAACAAAACCATGGCTCAGTGAGAATAGGCATGTGCCACATTGGGGAAGGCCAGCTGTAATCATGTTCTTCTGGCAGACGACAGAATTACATGAGAATGTGTTGAATGAGGGAATTTTTTTAAAAAGTAGGAGCTAATGTCCCATATGCACATAGACAGCCATAGTACAAAGTAATACATGACCAGCAGGTTAGAAAGGAGCAAATGCAGAGCCAGGTGAGGTCCAAAGGTCTCACTAAACTGGAGAGGAGAGGATTCCCAGAGGCCTCCTGGATCAAGTGGCCTTTGGATGGAACCCTGAAGAACACGGACCCAGAGAGCTAGCCCAGAAGGCCTCTTTCCCTTTGGGAGTCTGAAGTAGGTACATTTCCTGTTGTTTCTGGGGTGACTTCAAGCCACTAAAACACCATCCTGTGGAATAAGGAATGTTTGATTCTGCTTTGCCAAGGTGGTATAGCGCTAGGAAGGCAGACCTTCCTAATCTCGGCTGTTCCCCCTGGGACAGATTAGGCTATTAGGAAGGAACACGAGTGGAGTTTCATCAAATGTCCTCCTGCTTGGAAGAACTCAAACCTTTATCTCTCATAGACCATTCTCTCCTCTCCCCCAATCCCTTTGCCAATTATCACAGCCTTTGATCCTGCTGGTAACACCCCAAATAGCTTCTTTTGTTTTTTAGTTAAGCATTTTTTCTCCCTTCTACCTCTGCTTCTCCTCCCCTCCGAAAAACAAAAACAAAACCAGAAAACCTTATAACAAATAAGCATAGTTGCACAAAACAAATTCCCATATTGGCCATGTCCCAAAATGTGTATTTCAGTCTGTAAAAAAAAAATGACAGAAGCCAAGGGAAACATTTAAATATGACAAACAGGTAGATGGAGGAGGAAAAGGAGAAGATTTTTGCAGTCTGTTCCCTGGCTGTCATGGCAGGAGGCCCTACCTCTCCTCCAATACCAGCCCAGCTTATCACCATCCCCTGGTTCTTTGTGGGCCCTCCAGCCATGACATCCCGGGCCCACAGCCTCCCCAGCCTTGCCCTGCCACAATCCTAAACCTGTCCTACCTGGGGCAAGGAGCACTGTTTATGTCCAAAATTTAACTGAACGGAGATGAACAGCAGGAGCTTCAGTGTGGAGCCTGACAGGCCTCCCGCACTTGTTCCCGTGGCCAGATTAGTAAGTGCCTACAATATGCTGCCCAGGACATCAAGACAAGGAGCGACTGCCTTCTCCTCTACACCCCCCATCCCCCACAATGTCTCTCGTGTTTGTCCCCTTCTCTCCACTCAGACAACCTCTACGCCAGTTCAGTCTCAGTTTCCTCATCTCTAAAGTGGGGACAATAATAGCCCCTGCCTCCCAGGGGTGTTGAGGATCAAATAAGCTCATGTATGTAAAGTGCTTTGTAAACCATCAAGCAATATGACTCATCATCATCATCATCGATGTCATCATCCCCCACCCCCAGCCCCGTCCATCCTCCACACAGCCACCACCTGCCTGTCCCTAAGCACTGCTCTGACCATGCCACCCTACCTTCCCTCCCCAATGAAATCAATCTGTACTGTTCTGCCATGTCCCTGAACATAACATACAAGCTCTTCAGTGTGGCCTGGCATTGAACACCCTGGCCTGGCTTCAGCTGACTTTTAGAATAGCTGGGGAGCGGGGGGGGGGCACAGTGCTCACAGCACTGCTCCTGGAGGCAAGAAGACCCAAGTTCAAATCCAGCCTCAGATATTTGCCAGTTGTATGACCCTGTGCAAGTCACTAAAGTTCCATCTGCCTTCATTTACTCAACTGTAAAAAAGGGAAGCTAATTACAATAGACCTTATCTCCCAGCCTTATAGTGAGATGATCTTTGAAGTGCTCAGCACAGCACATAGTGAATGTATGTTCCCTTTCCCCCTCTTGCACTGTCTTTTCTGGTCGCCTGACCGGCTGGTCCTTCCCTCCTTTCCCTCCTCCTGCAGTGTTGTTGCTGTACTCATCTTGGGATCCCAGGCTCAGGTCGAATGCTCCTCTCCCCTCCGGGAGGCCTTTCTTGAGCCGCCTCCTCCTCCAGGGACAGTGGTTATCAGCACTGTGGTTATTCTGCCAGAAGCTGAGTGAGAAGTCTCTGTGGATGCAGATCGGCATCTTTCTCTGGAGAGGGAGTCCCAGGGACTCATGCGGCCTGCAGGGAGCGAGCCTGCCGCCTGCAGTTGGATTTTCCCATTCTGCCTCAGCTTTTCCTCCCCGGCCTCCGCTGAGCTCCCTGAGGGCACAAGGGTTTGATGGCGTTCTTTGTCTTCCAGCACCGAAGCAGAGGGTCCGGTAAGTAGGAGGTGCTTAATAAATGTTTGTCAAGTTGTTGGATTTAGAGCAAATGGAGTCACCGATTCTGTGGAGAGATTTCAAGGTGTCCCTGGCTTGGGTATTTAAAAAACTGATAAATGTATTTCAACATAATTAGTTTCCCTTGTACTCAATGCATTCTGTCCTATGCGGTTCACAACATGATGGAGGGGTCTGCAGGCTTTAGCAGCCTGCCAGAGTGGGGCCCCAGCACTAATGAGGGAAGAGCCCTGCTCTGGTTTGGAGAAGGGGGCAGTTCCTGGGCCTTCCAGACATGTGCCCAGTCCTGGTGAGCTGGTGGTAGAACCCTGTGTGCTTCGAACCCAGGCCTCTGATTCCTGTTCCAGGCAGGCAGGATGCACTTGCTAGATCCTTCTGTGATCTCCTTGGGGGGTACTGTGTAGTCATCCTGGGTAGATGCTGCCACCTGGGACCACAGACAGACATCACACATGGCCTTTGTGCTGCGGTTAGGGGAGGCAGCCCGGCCCCTCAGGGCCTCCACCTGTCTTTGGTTTTATTAATGAAATTAGACAAAGTGGATGTAATAGCAATAATAAAAACATTAACAGCTGGAGTGAAATGAACATAAATAAAACTTGTCCTGTTTCTAAATGTCAAAGAGACAGGACTTGGCATTTCTTAGAGCTGTCTGATGATGGAATAGATGATCATGACAGGTAATGAGTGCTTTGTTACCGGAGGTATTCAAGTGAAGGATGAATGAGAGTTGGAGAAGAGACTCCCGAATGGTGTGGAAGGTTGAGCTTTCTTCCTGTGCCAGGGCAGAGCCTGGTCTGGAGGTGTGTGCATATTGACGGGGGCATTAAAGAAGAGAGGCCCCTCTTGGTTGGCTTTGTTATTCCAGATGCCACAGTCCATCCCATCCGTAGGATGTCTCCTCACCTCCAGGATGTCCCTTCAGAGCCCTTCAGGGCCCTCCCTCCCTCCTGAAGTCTTGTGGCACTTGGAGGCACCGCCAGCCCGCTGCACTCGGCCCACTGGAGAATGTTCAGTGTTCCTTGCTGGGTCTGACCCGAGACTCCCCAGAGAGGCAGGAAACTCTTGAAGAACCAAAGCTCACCTTCTCTTCACTTTGCACAGCTTAGGTCTAGACAAGCCTAGGGCTGGCCTCTTGAAAGACTATTTGGTGCTGGACAGCAGCAGAGCATTGGTTCTGGAATCAGAGACCTTGGGTTCAAATCCTGCCTCTGACCCGAACTACCAGGGTGACCCTGGGCCTCAGTTTGCTCAGCTCTAAAATGAGGGGGTTGGACTTGGGAGGGGGAGGGATTTCTAAACTGATGGTCTCGCTCAGGGGTGGGGAAGCCGTGCCCTCGAGGCCACATGGGGCCTCCTAGGTCCTCATGTCACCTCAAGGTTGTGGGTTCCCCACCCTGTACGTTTTCCCTTTCTCTCTCTTACTCTGTTACAAACATGCCACGTGGATTAGGGAGAGAGAACCCTGGACGGGCAATCAGGAGAAGTGGGTTCTCTCCCTGACCTCCACTAACAGGCTCCGTGACCCTGGGTAGGTAACTTCCCTTCTCCTTGGCAAACTGAGGAGAGATGACCTGGTTCAGATGTTCTTAACCTGGGATCCATGAATTTGTATTTTTTAAAAAATATTTTGTTCTAATACGATTTGTATTATTCCATTATCCTTTTATTTCATGTGTTTAAAAACACTGTTTTTGAGGGGTCAGTAGGTGCCCAAGGCCTGTTGATGTCACCTTCCCAGCATCTCTCAGATTTGCCTCCTAAGATCTGCTTGTCCAGGGAGTTAGTGATCTGCCCTAGCTTGGTGCCTTCTGCAGGCTAGCTAAGTCTGCCACGGTTGACTTTCCCCGGTCACAGCACAGGGTCAGGCACAGATCCATGGCTAAGCCACTTGACTGCTCTGCTACAAAAGAGGAAGCCTGGCTGGGGGCTTGCTGTGAGGACTGACTGGGGTTCTGGCTGCGGAGTTTGCAGGCGAGTTCTCTAAAGGTCAGCTGCATTTCCCTGGGGACCGTGGCAGAAACATTCCTCATGGGTGGACAGCATCAGCTCCACACTCGGTCACATATCCCATGAGTAAAAACGTTTGTGCCATGCACCCCCAACGTTTGTCTGCGTTTTGAGTGATTGATTTATGGGTTATGTGCATATACTACTATACTTATCATTATGTATATTATCAAGCCAACCCAAAAATAGAAACCATGAAAGGATGAGATAAGATGAAATACTATTTGCACAAGGGACGGCAGAACTTTCTGAGTAGGAGAAGGACACCATGGTCAGGCCTGAGCTTTAGGAAAATCACTGGGGCAGTTTTGCAGAAGCCGCAGACACGCAGACACACAGAGCCCACGACCACATACTTAACCCACATTTTACAGTACAGGACTGTAAACACCCATAAAAGAAAAGGAAAAAATTCAGACTTCTTCTCTGGCCAGAAGGGAGGGCCAGAACATTTATGTGGATTTCCCAGATGTCCAGGGCGCTGTGCCCCTCCCCCCTCCAAAGATGGAAGGGACAACTGAACCTTCACATGGTGCCTCTTAAGTGCTTGGCTAAATGCCTTCCCTGACTCTTCCCAGAAGGCTGAAGCCACCTGAGCTTCTGTGGATGTGGACTAGGGCCTGCTGCCGCCCCCCTCACCCCCGCCCCCTGCAGCATCAAGGCCTCCTAGGCCTTCCAGAGCCTTCTGCCTGATCTCCCAGTACAACCACAAGCAGAGTTGGAGCTTGGAAGCAGCCTGTTCTTGCTCAGTCCTAGCTGTCTGGTCAAGTAGCAAGTGGATATTGAGGCTAGACTTAGCCAAAGTCCCAAGGATGAAGGGCATGACCTTGAGCCTGGGGCTCATGAAAAGTGTGCAGGGACTTGGGTTCAAATCCTGACTCGGACACTACCTAGGTGGCCATGAACAAGTTCCTTCTCCTCGCTGGGCCTCAGTTTCCTTCTCCATAAAATGAGGGGTTTGGACTAGACCATTTCTAAGGCCTGTTCCTGCTCTGTGGCCCTCGCTGCATTTTGTTGCCTCTTCTGCCATCCCCTCTTCCTTACAGGGCCGGGGGTGGTTCCTGTAGATCAGTGTTATGGAAAGTGGTGGAGCTCTGTCTTTAGGGAGTGTCTAGGCCCATTACCGAGGACAGTGAGATTCCCTTCCCGCAGGCCTCCTTGGAAGCTGTGCGTGGTGAGATGACTGCTCATTCTCAGACTCTGCTCTCTGAAATAGCCGTTCCTTTGTCTGAAGGTCCTGTTTCAAGCAGACACAGCTGGGAAAAGCTAGGGCCTGCCCTGGGCTTCCGGATCTCAGATAATCACTGGTAGCAGCCGAGAAAGCAGGGTCAGCGGTCAGAAGGGCCTGGCCCTGGGGGTTGTGTCCTGAGCGTTGGGACGCTGCTGGAGAGGAGCTGTGTGGGGCTGGCCCATCTCCCTCCAGACCGAGCCCCCGTGGGCCAGCCCTCTCCTTCCCTGGTCCCTCACTTCCTTATCGTCCATTCTTTCCTTACCTCCTGCGTCCCCGCTGCCCCCCCCCCCCCGATCATCACATTCCACGGCGTTTTCTCACGTGTCATCCTCCGTGCGGTCTCTGTAGACAGCCTGCTTCGACGGCGCCTTCTGTGCTACCACCTTCCCTCGAGCTCTGCCCTCCCCTTGTCCTGGGCATTGTGCTTCTCCTTCCCCCCTCCTGGCTCCTTCTCTGCTTTGGGCGCATTGTGGTAGGCTTGCTGGTGCTCTCGGGTAGACCTTAGCGATGATCATTCTTCTCCTCCCACTTCTCCAGGTGGCTGTTTGCTGAGCCCACCTCTGTCCCCATTCTCTGCTTGCCCTTTGGCACAGCATGTGCGCGAAGCCTTCTTCCTAGTCCTCCGTCCTCTGCTAAGGGCTGGTCTGCCGGCCCAAGCTGGATCACTCCCCCAGAGCCTGTCTCAGTCTCTCTGCCAGGGCTTCTGTCTGGAGGAATCTCTGGGTTAGCTTGGACCCTTCCTTCCTTCATCTCACAGTGTCCTATCGAGTCTACTTCCCGCTCGCCTTATTCCCCTCCTCTCCATTCCTCCCACCGCCACCCAATAGGTTCTCATGACCACGCAAATCTTTATGGGCTGCCAGATCTGGTCACATCATGCTGCTCAGAGACCCTCTGTGGCTCCCTGTTGCCTAGGAAATAAAGTTCAGAAGCCTCTGGCTGGTAGTCAAAGCCCTGCAGCCTCATCCCACCTGCCTGCCTGGCCTTCTTTCATATGGCTTCCCTCCCTGTGTGCTCCTCTCGGGCCAAGGTGGAACACCCAGCACCCACATGCACATCTTAGACTTTCCCATCTCTGGACCTTTGTCCATGCTAGGCCTGCTACCTTCCTTGCAGATGTTATTGAAGTGAGGATTCCTTTTGTGTGGAGGTTGGACGGGATGGCTGTGGGAGATCCTTTCCTGCTCTCTAATCGTGTGCTGCTTATCCTTGCCTGTTTAAATCAGCCCTATCCCTTCAAGCCCAATGCAGGTGCTGTCTCGTCCAGGAAGTTGGACCTGATTCTCTCTGGGCAGTGCCCTCCCCACTCAGGAACCTTGCTGAGGACTTCTTTCAGTCACTTGGGTAGTTTATAGTTATCTGTGTATGTGTCCTGTTCCCCCGAACTCAACGAAGGTTCTTCCTGAAAATCCGTCTGATCTTGGGGCCCACCACACTCATCTGAGTGAAGAACTGCACTCTCTGGAAAGTCCCCTTATGTGGGGGAGTATAGACGCCTGCCCCTGCTAATGGGGCAGAGGCAGGGGGCAGCAAGGGTTGAAGCTCTGCTTTGTGTGTTCTTCCGCCTCGGTCTGGCATCCAGGGAAAATAAGGCATTTCCCGTTGGCTTCCTGCCACCCCCTTCTTTGCCCCTGTGTCTCCCTGGGCAGAGGGAGGGACCCTCAGAACAAAGATCCATTTGTCCCTTGCATTATCCTCATTGAGGGAGAGTGACAGCCTCAGCCAAGGCTGGGGCTCC